ACCTCAGAAGTACATAAACCTTGTGAAGGCTCTTTACTCGAACACTACCAGTCGAGTCAGAGCTTATGGTGAACTGTCATCTACTTTTGCAACCTCAAGTGGTGTCCGTCAAGGCTATCCACTTTCTTCATTTTTGTTTAACTTAATTACAGACATGCTGATGGAAATAACGCTCTTGTCGACTGATCTCCTACCAGGTGGTCCACTTATCGACTTAGAATACGCAGATGACATAGTCCTGTTTGGTGAAGACTCTGATAAAATGCAGAGTCTTCTGGTAGCACTAAGCAACAGTTCCAGAATGTTTGGAATGCGCTTCTCTCCCTCTAAATGCAAGTAGTTGCTTCAGGACTGGTCTGCGTCAACACCTGAACTAATGATAGGGAGTAAAGTAGTCAAACGCGTTGACAACTTCACTTATGTTGGAAGTCTGATCAGCCCTAATGGGTTGATGCCTGACGAAATCTTTGCACGGATTCAAAAACCTTGTTTGGCTTTTGTCAACTTACGTCACCTATGGCGAAGGCGAGATATCCGTCTATCAATAAAAGGACGAGTATACGGCACAGCAGTTCGTTCTGTTCCACTTTACGGCTGAGAAACGTGGCCATCAAGAGTAGAAGATACTCGTAAGCTACTAGTGTTTGACCACAGATGCTTTAGAAATATTGCTCGCATCTGCTGGGATCACCGGGTAAGTAATAGTGAGGTTAAACGCAGAGTATTAGGTAATGATGGTAAATCAGTTGATGAGGTTGTAAATGTTCATTGACTGGAATAGTTGGGTCACGTGTTGTATATGCCTGAACATCGATTAACATGACGCGCAATGATGATTAGTGTTGAGGATGGTTTGAAGAAAGTTAGAGGCAGCCAAACCAAAACGTGGCATCAGTCATTGAAGTCACTAACTTCTAGTCTTAGCCATGTTGGTAGATGCAGATTACTTGGTTGGGGTCCGCGTGACTATCGTAACCAATGGTTAGAGACTTGGTGACATGGCTGAGAATCGACCACAATGGCGTCGGTGTATACACTCTCTGTCTTCCCTTAAACTAAGAGATTAAAATCTCCCCATATCTTTCTTTCTACTAACTGATTCTTTCTTTCTGTACTACGTCCTTATCTGCAATCTTTGTTTATAGACCACTACTATTTAAGTGACTACTTCTATGAATTCGATGTTCATCTTGTTGTACTAGCTAATGAGGTATAACAACTTGAACTGATGCATATAATGTGCCTGATTCTACATTGCAGCTGACTGACTGATTGACTGACTGACTGACTGACTAACTGATTGTATTGAGTTCTTTCTATTCTTTAATCATGATAAGTAATTCATTGAAATTCGCATGTATAATTCATATATGAAAAACAGAATGTTATTTCATGCAAATAACACTCGTTCTATTTGAATTGTCTTAACATTGTCTATTTATATTGAAAAATAGATTTTGTTTCACTGAATGAATCGTTTGATTGTTTACTTTCGGTTGTCATAGCAACTGTAATAATTTTTGTTTGTTCGTTTGTTTGTTTATGGAATAATCGAATAAACTTAAAATTAAATTTTGATAATGAATAGGAGAAAAAATTTATTTTGAATTTATCAGAAACGAGGGGGGGGGGCTATTTGTTAAGATTTTAGTCGTTTTCGTTAGTTGAATACATGAGTCAGCTGAAGTTAGATCATGATAGAAAAGCTGGAAGTAATGGAAGGCTGTTTCATCCTCAGCAGTATGGATCCATGATCCCGCCTCCCGCAAGATTCGAATCGAGGATCTACTGGTGTTGTGCATGAACGTCTAACTTATAGATCACTGAGCCAACCTGTATTCAATGGTGTTAATGTGTAACTTTAACCAGTCCACGAAATTCAGTGACACATCCACCATTGTCTTCAATGAGTAACTGCCTCTCAACAGACACTCTTGAGCTCCATATGTCACGGCTTCTCATTAGAACTCGAAGAAATACCACTTGAAGCCAGTTACTAGTGAGCACATGATAATTATTATCAGAAGGAGGTTTTGATAAGATTGTAGTAACTAAATAGTAGAGTTCATCAGTCAGTTGAAGCTAGACGATCATGAAAAACCTGGAAGCATTGAACGGTCATTTAATCCTAGTATGACACTACTCAGCAGTACGCATTCACGATCGCGACTGAAATGTTCAGCCAATGTTTTCAGGTTTTACATGATGGGATAGCTTGAATTGACTCATGAATTCATCTATTTTCAATTTACTCCACTTATTCAAGTTACTGTTCAAAAGTGTTTTACTAAGTGCTTGTTGAATAGTAATTTGTTGGGAAAGTTCCAGAAAACTCCTAGGAAAAAAAACCAACAAAGGATCTAGAAATGCTGAGAAACATCTTATCCAATCAGCATTCAATAGAATTGTTGCCAGAAACATGAAGAAAGTGAAAAGCCATATGTTACGTTTCTGATTGGATGATAGGTACCTATGCTACTATTATGTTTAGTAACGTTCTAGAATTTTCCGGAAACACAAAGCCATCTAAAAGACTATAAATACCCTATATTTTCTATACATAAACGAACCTTTGAAGTGAAGCGTTTTCTTTCATATTTTGCTACTTTCCTCTCGTGTTCAGGTTGCTGTGTTGATTTAGCCTGAAGGCGGGGGGGGGGTTATTACAAGTAAGAGTTTGAGAAACCGAATCAAACATTCAATTAGATTGATCATAATTTTTTTTGGAAAATATATTAGTTACTCAAAAATATATACGTTAAACGTTTAGAATCCAAAGAAAACAAAGTAAGATGGTGGAGAAGATTTGTCAAAACAACCATTAACAAATATAGAAGAACACCTACTCCGAAAGGGATTAAACTACAATACAAGCGACGCCTCAAAACTGGAATTCTTCGCAACACTATAGTCATCACTCAAAACTTCAGGAATCAGTGAAGAAACACAACAAGAAATAAGACAAACTATAGTGCCGATAACTCAACAGGTAAAGGAAAACAACCAACTGACCCCACAAGAACTAAAAGCTTTGAAGGAACTCAGAACTAGAAAGGATATTGTCATAGTTCTAGCGGACAAAGGACGCACTACAGTAATTATGGACAAAGAAGAATACGTCAAAAAAGCCGAGGAACTACTTGATAAGATGGATATAAATCCCGTCAAAAAATTAGACAACCGAATCTCAAAGACTTTAAACAAGCTAGTCAAAGCAGGAGAAATAACAAAACAAGACCAATGGAGAATGAAATCCAATGAACCAGTACTCCCTCGATTCTACGACAGACCAAAAGTACACCAACCAAACATACCACTACGTTCAATTGTAGCACTCCCCGGAACACCGATATACAATTTGTCAAAAGAAATTTCACGAATACTGAAACACTTAGTTGGTTCATCCAACCACTCCATCAAATTCCCCACACAATTCCTGGACCAAATTAAGGACATTCAAATCAACAACAACGAACTGATGATATCCTTCGGTGCAACAGCGTTATTCACCTCAACTGAGACAAGGTTAGCAAAAGAAACCCTATCTCTGCTCCTCACCAACGACAAAAATCTCAATAAGTACACGAAGCTTCAAATTCAAAGTCTACTAGAACTCATCGACTAATGCCTAACAAACTAAAGGGACACCAACGGGATCACTAATATCAGGACTGATTGCAGAAGCAGTGATACAAAGACTAGAGGCCGCGATATTACCAGCGATCAAGCCAAAAATTTAGATTCGCTATGTAGACAACACACTCGTCATCGTAAAAAAAATGAGCTGGAAAATTATGCACAAATATAGGAACCAAAATCAAACCAATGAGAGACACAACCAAAACAAAGAAATAAACAATGACAAATTTAAGGTCAGTAAGAACCAATCAACATCGAGGTGCACAGAACAAGCTGTGGAACACATATGGAGAAATTCAAACACTTCACTTCTATCTGAAGTTTGTGCTGATGATGTCGTTCAGAAGAACGATAAAAGCTCCACGACCAAACCATCCAGCTCAGAGAACAAAGTTCCATCAAAAACAGAGTAAGTTGAAATGGGAAGTTTTTGTGTTGAAATGAAAACAGATCAAATATGTTGAAGTCAAGTTGAGAATTTTTAGTTCAAATGGATAATTTTATTCATATTGTATTCTGTAAAGTGAATCATACAAAGATCATCAGTCTTAGGTAATATCGTTGGACATCGACTCACTTACTAATCAAGAAGTTTAAAGTTTGTACATAATACTAAATGTCCTGAGTTCGAATCCCGTATACGAGATTATGAATGTGTATTATCGGTCAGTCTCATATTAGAATGAAATGGTCTTATAGTACTTTCAAATTTTTTTCATAATAATCTAGCTTGAATGAACTCATAAATAAAAGATAACTTACACATTATTCGAACGTTCCATGTACCTATAAAAATTGTTGCTCTGGTTGTTAGAAGGGACATCGGCCTCGTGGCTTTCGAAGAAACTCGGCTTTCACCATCAGGCGTCATAGTTCTTCTAAATGAAAACCTTCTAACTCCCAGGGTAGAGTTTAAATGGTTTGAATTATTTTTTCTGGTAAGCGTTTTTCTTGCGAGTTAGTTTTCTACGGGATGGTGTCGCTAACCCTATGCTCAACCCTCCTCCTTTACCTGGGCTTGGGATCGGCAGTAACTCTAGAAGAGCTACATGCGAAGTTAAACAGAAGATAAGTGATAAATGAATTGTATATTCCCTTATTCTTTGAAATAAACCAAATTCTAACCTTCTAAAAGAACATCTTCAAGGATCAAATCAACAGTCCATCATAAACATAATCAAATTGTATAAGGAATACTGTATATCATTGATTATTGTCATCAATTACATAATACATAGATAGATCATTCAGTAATATGCACATAATAGTAATATTGTATAAAGTAATTAAAGGGTAAATAAGATAACTTTGGTTATATATATATATATATAATGTAATATACAACACAATTGAGTTGTTTGTTATTTACTTTGATTCAATTGATTAACAGGTTGAGATGGATTAGGGTTCGAATTTGTATTCATAGTAGTATTAGTAGTGTTATTATTATTAATAGTAGTAGTGTTATTAGTAGTATTGATATCTGGATGTTTACAAAGTAATTCAGTGATTGCAACCATACTACCAAATATATAAGCTCCAAAATTAGCTGATGTAAATATCTATATAAATGAATGAAATTATGATTATAAAACAATCAGATGAGTCATTGAAATATACTACTTATATAGAGTTAAGTGAACAAGGGTATATTTTGTAAGCAATGATGGATAGTGGCTAGCAGTGGAATACAGGATGCGACTTTCATCCTACTTGGAACTCATCAGCTGGGTGTATCTGCATCTCAGAGTTGTGACTCGAACCCAGTACCACTCGCTTATAACTCCATTGCGTTATTCACTCAGCCACTGAGTTCTGATAGCCACTGGCTTGCGCGATGGGGTGAATTTCAATTCACTTGGTATTATCTGGCTTGTATCTTCCCATTGAGGTTTAAGACTGCACAGTATGCACATATGCCAATAACAGACTGATCAATTGCAGTCTTAAACCTCAATGGGAAGATACAAGCCAAACAATACCAAGTGAAGGGTATACTTTGTCGGGGTTTTTTTCTTCCCTAGAACTCATTGATTAAAGTTATCTAAAAGTCGACAGAAGTATATGCCATTCAAGTGTCTAGAACGAAAAAAACTGATAGTCTATGTGTTATACACTAATTGGATGATAAAATCATTTAGCATTGTTTCAGAAGTTTCTAGAGGTCAGTATTATTGTCAATAATCTTACTTCGTATTATTTTTTTTCTTTATTGTTTGAGGATCTAGAACTTACTTACGCCGGTTACTCTTCGTGGAAGACCATACGCCACCCACCAGTATTCTCCATCCAACCCTGTCCTAAGCAATCCTTTCAAGCTCTCTCCAGTTGTTATTCATCCTTTTCATATCTGATTCCATTTCCTGACGTAATGTGTTATTTGGCCTTGCTCTTTCCAGCTTCCCATCAGGATTCCAAGTTAGGGCTTGCCTTGTAATGCAGTTTGATGATTTGCATTATGTATGTCGTATCCATTTCTATTGTCTTTTCCTAATTTCCTCTTCAACTGGGATCTGGTTTGTTCTCTCCCAAAGAAGGCTGTTACTGATGGTATCCAGCCAATGGATGTTGAGTATCTTGCGAAGACAACTATTTATAAATATTTGTACCTTCTTGATGATGGTTGTTGTAGTTCTCCAAGATTCAGCTCCATACAGTAGGACGATCTTGACGTTCTTATGGAAGATTGTGACTTTGATATTGGTTGAGAGACAGTTGTTTTGAGTTCCATATGTTCTTCATTTGTAAGGATGATCAAGAAAGCGGCTAGAAATTCAATGTCAAACAACTGGTTGAATAATAGATATCAATTATCTTCAAGAAGTTCATTAGATGTATCATGACGTACCTTTTATAATCCATGGTACTTATCAGTAAGCTAATTTTAGATGTGAGAAAAAAAAGTGTTCCAAACTTGATAAAAGATTAATTCAGCATAGAATTTAATGATTGATGTTTGATCAAACATTATTCAATGACTATTAGATTCGATGGTTCTTTGAACTCTCTAACGTCTCTTTTTAACTTGAGTTTTTAACGTAAGAGCTGTTAAACAATAATTTAATTGTAAACATTGTGTGATGAGATACTGGGATGATATTGTTATCAAATGCCCAAATGGTACGGACGAGGGTGGGGAGATTCCACTCTCCTTCTCGAAATAGTCTTGTAGTATCGGTTATTATGTTAAGCCCATATACCGTAATCTAGCTTTCGTACATGCCGATGTATTCATTGTACTTGAGTTACGTTTCGATCTTGTCAATTATCCACTTATCCAAACTTGACTGTTTTTATATGAGCGTATCTATGTATACAAATCTTATCCTATTCATCACATGTCTGTAACTGATTTTTGTGGGACTATAAATATTGATTAACGCTTGGTTAAATGGATTTGCCTTATTGGCCTTATTTACTGTGCGTAATTTCGATTCGCTCTCATCTCTAGGGTTCATTCTCTGATTGCCTGTTCAAATCAATGAGTGCATGGAATATACATATTCGAAATCCATTTTCGTATTAAGCTTATTTAATCCCGTTATTCACTAACGCGATCTAAGCCGATCAAGATATACGAGAGTAGTCAGAACATATATTTCGACAGCAAACATTCACACGACCTAACTGGAGTCAGATCTTGAGCCATTAAACTCTCACATGGCTACGCGTATACAACCACTGCCAGGGAAGTTCTACTTACTACCTTCTCGCGGAACCGGTGTTGTTTACGAAATTGAGAGGACAAAAAGCGAATATTCGGGTTGGTGGATATGGAGGGTCCACCTAGGGGAGTTGGACAATGATTCCAAACCAACGGTGTACATGGGCTCCAGGATCCTGAGGAAGTAAATGCTGTATGAACCTATTGTTGGTCACCGGCTTCCATGAGACTGCATCTCCTAACGCTGCTCCACTACCATGTAGATCAGACATTTAGGTAGAAGGCTTCGGGAGTGGAGCACTGAGAAGACCACTTGTTTCGGTCTGGGCATCCGAGCAGTATCACAGTCCACTCACAAATCAAAGGAGTTGTGTGGTACATATGTATTCAGTATCTTTGTCTTTCAAAATTTATGTTTTCAAATATATAATTGGGATGATATTGAAAAAAGAGTTGATTATACAAATAATATTGCTTTTTGAAGTATTATTGCAAAGGTGTGATCGGTCGAGTTCAACCACATTTAAAGTAAGACAGTCATCACCGCTGCGAATAAATAATGAAAATCTCACAACATGTAATGAAAAAAGTTAAGAATATGCTTCATAGATGGTTTAAAAGTAATGCGCTCTCCTCAATACTTTAAGTTCTGGGTTAGACCTAGACTAACATGTCTCATACTAGAATTAAACAGTTGTCTAATACTTTCCAATTTCTTATAGTCTGCAAAATATAGTTTTTTCATGATGCGAACTATCCCTGTAGTTATAAGCAGAGATGAATAATGACTAGCAGTGGAATCCAGGACGCACGTTTCGTCCTATCTGGGACTCATCAACTGGATGTACCTGCATCTCAATAAAAGACTGACCAATTGCAGACCTAATCATCAGTGGGAAGATTCAAGTAAAACAATACCAAGTGAATTTAAACTTCACCCTACTACTCAAGAAAGTGGCTATCAGAACTCAGGAGATAAGTAGATAACGCTATAAAGTTTGGAGCAAACAGTACTGGGTTAGTCTCCGAATGAACATCAACTGTGAAATACAGGTACATCCAGCTGATGAGTCCCAAATAGGATGAAACGCACGTCCTGCATTCCACTACCAACCACTATTCATCTTTGCTTACAATGCTTGTGAATCAGGAAAATATTGAGGCAATTCTGACATGATGCAGTCCCAAATAACAATGAGAAGATTCAAGTAAAACAACAATACCAAGTGAATTTCACAATTTATTGACCACAGGGTGGTGATCAATGTCATGTGTGTCAAGTCCTTCTTAGTGCAGATCGAATGCTATCGACCAAGTGATCGACCCAGTGATCAATCAATTGTAAATATATCTCAGTCCTACAGGTCAGTCGCGGCCTGGATAGCTTAACGGTAACATCTCTAACTGTGAAGCTAGGTACACAGGATTGAATCAGTCAGGGAGTACCAGTTTCCTCATGATTACAGGTACACCTTGCTGACGAGTGCTAAGTAGCATAAAACCCGTCTCCAGGATTTCCTGTTGACTACCTCCAACCACCATCTTACCAAGTGACTTTATCCCTTTAGTTATAATCAAATGTTTTATTTCACATTCATATCAATAATCAATTTTCATTATCATTATTATTATTATGAGAAGGGGTTTTGTGAAGATCTTAGAAATTTCACTGGCTGAAATCATGAGTCAATTGAATCTAGACCACCATGAAAAACCTGGAAGCAGTGGACGGCCGTTCCGTTCTAGTATGGGACTCCCCAGCAGTGCGCATCCACGGTCTCGCACCCCGCGAGATTCGAACCCAGGAAATATCAATTTCGCTCCAGGCGCTTAACCAAATAGACTACTGAGCCAGCACCCAATGGTGTAAATGTCTAACTTTAACCCATCCACGAAGTTGCGCCACCGTACACCAATGTCTTCAGTGAGTTCCTATCTCACAATAGACCTGGTTGAACTCCACTGGTAACGACTTCTCATTAGAACTCCAGGAGTATCTCTCTTGAAGTCAGTCACTAGTGAGCATATGTTGATTAATATCCGAAGGGGTTTTGTGGAGATGTTTTAGAAATTTCACTGATTGAAATCATTACTACCAGTTATGATTGTAATCAATTCTTATCTCTCATAATACTAATGATATAATCATAACATTTAATCATAATTAAATAGACACTACTTACTGTAATTGGTCCAATAAAATATTGTAAATAATCTATTTGATTAAATGTTACACCAATTGAGATACAATAAAGTAATGTGACAATCAACTGATAAATAGTTTCCTTGGTTATTAAAACAACAACAACAAAAACAAAGAAAAGAAAAGAAAAAGAAGAAAAATTTAAATAAAAAGAAATAGATATATATATATCTATATAGGAAATTAACAATTAAAATGAATTCATTCATTATCATAAACATCACAAACACACACACATGCACACACGCACACAAAGAGACACTTACGCACAGACATACAAACAAGTGCACAAACACAAACAGAGACACTCGCACACACTAACACACAAACACACAAACAGAAATAGAGACACTCGCGCGCACGTGCACGCACGCACACACACACACGTACATTCATGATATAAATCATTGAATTTATGAATATTTAAAGTGATGATAAACCGCCAAAAGTAAATAAATAAATAACAATTAAATAAACAATGAAAACATTGAAATGGTTGTTAAGTTGACAATTCAAGATAAAAAATTGAATTTATTTAAAGCAAATGATCTAGGATCAATGACACAAGAATCATTTAAAAAAGGATTTAATTCTTACAAAGAATGACTAACAGTTGAAGCTCTACACATGTATGAGCTAATTCAAATAGTATTAATAGGAGAGATGAAATACAATTAGCTGTTCTATGGCAACTAATAATTAATAAGTAAACTTGAATTCCTTATTCCATTTGATTTGTCTATATCATATTAACTAATCAATAGATAATACATTCAACGATTTCAAATAAGTTAGCTTATCTGAATATCACTTGTTGAAGCTAGAACACCATGGTAAACCTGGAAGCACTGAACGACCGTTTCGTCCTAGTATGGTACCCCTCAACAGTGCACATCCACGATCCGTACCCCGTTGGATTCGAACCCAGGACTTATCAGTCTCGCGCCAGACGCTTAATCTGAATATGTTAAACAATTTGACTGGAACATTAAAAGAACACAATCTTTCAATTACAAATATATTCCTCTCTTTGAATTCAGTCTTTTATCTTATTTACTTATCTTCCTTTAATGCATGTTGTGGCATTTTTAATTCATTTCATATATATAAAAATGATATGTTTCTTCTTAATAGACACAGAACGAAGACAATCTATCGTTGAATGAAATATCTTCTTCTCACATCACTTACATATACACACAATCTGTTATCTTAACACTTTTCGTTTCCACACCACATATCTCTTACACATTAATGTAAATACCTACTATAAACATTGTTCACGTTGATTGAATAACCTATTGAAGTATACAGTAAACCAGAGAACCATGTACCTCTATTTTTATTTGATAATTTTGTTGTTTGATTATATTTTCCTTGAAAAAGCTTGAACCAGATTGCTAGGCGAAACGTTGGATTTACTTCCAATTCATTCGTTGAGATTTTACAAATACAACATTCTTCCTCTTTAATGACTTACATTAACTCGACGCCCAAACAGTGTGAAACGATTCGTTCAAATTTAGACGAAAGTTCTTATTGATCTATGAAAACTTTAAAGTATTGAATGATTGTTTTGTTCTTGTATAAGACTCTTCAGAAGTATACATCTATGATTTTATATATATGGAACTCAAATCGACGACATTCAGTTTCACATATTTGAACTCGAAATGTTTAAACTAGTGAATCTAATAATGTCTAATAATATTTAACTTTGATTTATTCATAATGTTACGTAATCGTGCATCCAATGGTTTTTTTCTCAATAGTTGAGATCATGATTCAACTGCAACTAGAACATTGTGGAAAACCTAGAACCACTGGACGGCCGTTTCGTCCTTTTATGGGATTCTTCAGCAATGTACATTCACGATCTGACACGTGAGATTCGAATTCGGAACCTTAGGTCTTGTGCGCAAACATTTAACTTTTAGATCACTGAACCAGTCAGCATTCAACCGGTATTTTTGTCTAACTTTAATCAATCCAAGAAATTGCGTTACCGTCCACCACTCACTCAGAATTCGAACCCAGAACCTTCAATATCAACTCTCGCAAATCATTTAACGAATGTACCTATTTTTTTTAATTTTCATGACTGAAGAACTTTTTTCTTTTAATTTTCATATTGAAAAAAACAAAACTTTATTTCATTTTGTTTAAATGTACTTTAATGAACTATTCAAATGAACAATATCAAGTGAATACAATAATTCTATGCATAGAAACTATTGGAATAATAATGAGTTAATGAAATGATTGATTGTTATACAGAATACATTTAAATATTCAATTATTATATGTTTGTTTCATTGTAAATGAAATCATATATGAATGATAGTGAAAGTTGAATGATGATGATGATGATGATGCTTTGGATGATGATGATGATGATGATGATGATGATGATGATGATGATGATGATGATGATGATGATGATGATGATGATGATGATGATGATGATGATGATGATGATGATGATGATGATGATGATGATGATGATGATGATGATGATGATGATGATGATGTTGATGTTGATGATGATGATGTTGATGTTGATGATGAAGATGTTGATGTTGATGATGTTGATGATGATGTTGATGTTCATGATGATGACGTTGATTTTGATGATGATGTTGATGATGATGATGTTGATGATGATGATGATGTTGATGATGATGATGATGATGATGATGATGATGATGATGATGATGATGATGATGATGATGATGATGATGATGATGATGATGATGATGATGATGATGATGATGATGATGATGATGATGATGATGATGATGATGATGATGATGATGATGATGATGATGATGATGATGATGATGATGATGATGATGATGATGATGATGATGATGATGATGATGATGATGATGATGATGATGATGATGATGATGATGATGATGATGATGATGATGATGATGATGATGATGATGATGATGATGATGATGATGATGATGATGATGATGATGATGATGATGATGATGATGATGATGATGATGATGATGATGATGATGATGATGATGATGATGATGATGATGATGATGATGATGATGATGATGATGATGATGATGATGATGATGATGATGATGATGATGATGATGATGATGATGATGATGATGATGATGATGATGATGATGATGATGATGATGATGATGATGATGATGATGATGATGATGATGATGATGATGATGATGATGATGATGTTGAAGTTGATGATGATGATGATGATGATGATGATGATGATGATGATGTTGATGTTGACTATGGTTATGTTGATGATGATGTTGTTGATGATGATTATGATGTTCTTATTAAATATCAGTAGTATATTATGTTTAAATTTAAAGAAGATATATGAAACGTAAAATAAACTGTCTATCAATCAATGTTAAAGTCAAAATCTTTAATACGAACGTCCAGATAGTCTTCGTGTATGGAGATGAAATGTAGAGAACTACTTCAACTAATATCAAGAAGGGAAAAGTTCTCATAAACACTTATCTATGCAAGATACTGAATGTTCGTTGTACGGATACCATCAACAACAGCCTATTGTGGGAATGAATAAATCAACTTTTATCTGAAGAGGAAATTAGGGAAAGACGTTGGAAGTGGATGAGACATACATTGAATACATGCATTGATACAAGTGAAGATATGTCATAGCGTTTGACCATTAATTAATGTTCATGCAGGCGCAGAATGATGAGGGCATCCGCGTTGTTCGATGCAGTGTTTTTCGCAGTTGGCATAATTTATTTTGTAGATGATGTTTAGTTTGTCTTCTTTTGTCATTTCATCCTTTGATTTACATAGGACTGATTGCAGTGATTTTGTTGGTTTGGGTACAACACCTATTCCGAAAAGTTTCAACAATCTCGTCGTAGTTTCTGATATGCTTTTTATATATGCTAGGGTGATCTGTTTGTTGATTTCTATGCTCGACATTGTTTCTGATGATGCATTCAGCTGGTATTTTTCAACAAAGTTGATTGGGTAGCCGTTCTTTTGAACGATAGTTTTCAGGTATTTTTCTTCATTTTTTCGTGCTGCAAGTGTACTTCAGTGTATCCTCGCCCTCTTTTATAAAGTTTGCATGTAGTTGTGAGCTCTTGAGTTGCTGTTACTGTAATTGAGAATTTGATTTGTGTGGGTCGGCTTCTGATATACTTGAGTCTCCAGTTTTCTTATGTCGGTTTTGGTGATTACTACATCCAAGAATGGTAGTTTGTTGTTAGATTCATGTTCCATTGTTGTTTAAGACTGCAACGGATCATACTTTTATTGCTATATGAACATCCTGTGCGTATTTCTTCGATATTGACTTAAGTTACATCTATCTGACAAGTTTCTGAATTCCACTGCTAACCACCATCCATCTTTGCATATAACGAATAATTAGATTCTGAGATAAATAAACACTATTTACTGTGGAATTATCTTTTTTTTGAAAAACGTCTAAACTGATGGTTGAATTCATGAGTTAATTAAAGCAAGAAGATTATCATGGAAAACCTGGGAACATTCGACGACCGTTGCATCCTAGTATGAGACTTATTAAGGGTTGGAGGTATTCCACAAGAAACCCTGGACCTAGGTTTTGTGTTATTTGGCACTCGTCAGCAAGGTATACCTGTAGACTTGAGGGAACTGGTACTCCTTGACGGATTCGACCCCGTGTCATCTAGCTTCACAGTCAGAGATTTTACCACTAAGCTATCCAGGCCACCACTGACCTCCTGTAGAATTGAGATGTATTTACAATTGATTGATCACTGAGCGGAGATCAATGTCATGTATGTTAGGTCCTTCTTAGTTCAGATCGAAATGTAGCTAATAGTTTAGGTGACTCTACATTGCGTGCACTATGTTATATCTTTCACCTATTCAACTAGCAGTCGAAAATATTGCAATTCAGTCATTTACGATCAGATGTATTCCATATCATATTTCAAGTTATTCTAACACTTAGTTTAAAAAATCTGGATCAATCGATCTAAATTCATCCAATTATACCAATATTCTTCGCTTTATAACTCTACATCATGTACAAGCCACCGTCAACGAGCTGCAGAGGAACCATCTATACAATCGTTTTAATCTACTAGATTTTGTATTTTAAAATGAAACGATCTCTTTCACAACCAAAGCATTCCACATGCTTTAAGAATTACTTTTATAGTACTGTCATAAACCTGAAAGTCTCCTGTCAAGATACTGACGATAGAAAAGTAGATCATGTTGAACAAATTCAAACTGAAGTAGAACAGATCTAATAGCTGTCAAGTATATATTGTAGCTAACCAACTACTATTATCCCAATGACCTTGTTGATCTCCCTTACCTTTCACAGAAATCATCTTAAGCCATTTAGTTTATGAATTAAAATTGATCTCAGTCCCAATATAATGATTGCTATATCTTTATTTACTTAAATTTATATAAGTGAACTAATAAAAAGACTGATAGGTCCTAGATTCGAATCGTGTGAGAAGGATCGTGGATGAGCACAGCTGAGGAATCTCATACTAGGACGAAATGACCATCTAATTCTTCCAAGTATTCCATGATGGTCTAGCTTGGATTGACTTGTAAATTCAATTAATAAATTAATTAAAAAGTAGTTCATTTACAAATCAACATTTTAGATTGTTAGTTAAGTGAAGTGATTAGAATAATCTGAGGGACACGGGATCGCATCCGTCAGGGAGCACTAGTTCCCTTAAGGTTACAGGTACACCTTACTGAAGAGTGCCAAGTAGCACGAAACCCGGGTCCAGGGTTTCCTGTTGACTACCTCCAACTAGCATCTAAATATCAATACATAGTGCCCGCAGTGTCGAGTCGCCTAGACTGGTGGCCACATTGCAACATGATCGATAGCATTCGATCTGCACTAATAAGGACTAGACAAGCATGACATTGATCACCACCCAGTGATCAATCAATTGTGATTACATCTCAGTCCTACAGGCCGTTAGTCACGTCTCGGATAGCTCAGTGGTAACGTCTCTGACTGCGAAGCTGGGTGACACGAGATCGAATCCGCCAGGGAGCACCAGTGCTCTGAAGATTACAGGCACACCTTGCTGACGAGTGCCAAGTAGCACGAAACTCTAGTCAAGGGTTCCCTGTTGACTACCTCCAACCACCGTCTAATGTGGATAATCTTATCGGTTTATCTCCTTTTGATATTGAACTAATCAGAATAAAGTATTCAATTGTGTTTCTATGATTATGACATTAAACTGGTTATTATTATTTTTTGTCAAATCATAATTTTGTGTAACCAAATGCCTAATATTATCTTATAGTATTTCTGTAAATCAGTATATAAGACTGTCATGTGCACTACTTATGACGACATAAGTAGTATATAATACTAGTCCGGAATAGAATGTCTAGTAGCAAACAGTTGAGAAGATCGAAGAGGAAAGAATGAGAACAGAAAGTAATTGGTATGAAAATACAAAACGGCTGATTGACATTTACAGAAAGAATAGTCAAGTTTGAGAAAATTGATTAACATTTCGCAAATGAAATGTTTAATGTATGATCCTCCGATTTTCAATCAGTCAATCAGTAACAACGTAGAAGTTCGTACGTACGTATATAAATTCGAGTTGCCATACCATATTAGCACAGAGATGCAGTTGTCGATTCAAATTCCATAGTGGTAGAGGTAGTAAAAGTATAAGTAGTAATTGGAAAGATTAAGGTTAGAGATTGTCCCTATTTGAGTTCTCATTCAGTACAATACTAATGATAGTAACATACACTGTCATTATGAGAAATCATAACAAATATATTTGTTTGTTTACTATGATTCTAATCTATTTAATCATACCAAGAATCACTTCGATGAGAATTAAAAAGTTTCAGTTTTATAAAATAAATATGTGTTGAATACTTCTTTTAAGTAAATTTGAAATAGGACGAAAGTCGCATCCTGGATTACACTGTTAGTCACTATTCATCTTTGCTTAGAATGCTTGTGTATTAAGGTAATATTGAGGCAATTTGCACACGATACACATATACCAATATGAGACTGATCCATTGCAGTCCTAAATAACAATGAGAAGATACAAGCGAAACAACACTAAGTGAATCTGATCTTCACCCCATTACACAATCGAATGGCTATCAGGACCCAGTAGCTCAGTGGATAACAAGGTGATGTTTGAAGCGAACGGTACTGGGTTCGAGTTCACGAATGAACATCAACTGTGAGATGTAAGTACGTTCAGTTGACGAGTTCCAAATAGGACGAAACGCACGTCCTACATTCTATTGCTAGCCACTTTCTATCTTTGCTTATAATGCTTGTGACTTAAGGCTACATGGAAGTAATCCACACAAAGAATACCAATAAGAGACTGATCAATGATAGTGTTAAACATCAATGAGAAGATTCAATTAAAACAACACTATCAAGTGAATGTGTATCATTTAAAACGTTTTGTTAATTAAATAACAAACTGGAACTTACAATTAATTTTAATATTGATCGACCATCCAATGGTCTTGTTGTAGCAAAACCATACATTAATAAAAAGACAATATTTCCAATAGCTGAAAATGTTCCAATTCCAATTAAATATTGAAATCCTATTTCATGATAACCTCTTCCAGCTAATGCAATACAAATTATACCAAGGATCTATATTTCATAAAGGAGAGATGAAAGTTAAAAAGAAAGGAGTTTTATTAAGTATAATTTAGAACATGCATATAAAACTATGATCCTGATAGAGTTATGTTCTATGAGCTAGATGATTTGATCATGGAAGCTTTCATTGTTCTTCTGAATGATATCATTAGTAGTACAAACTTTAGGTAGAAGTGAAGTGTTCAAATTTCGCCACATATAGTTCACAATTCATCCCGTACATCTCGATGTTGATTGGTTCTTATTGATCTTAAATCTGTCATTGTTTACTTTTATTGTTTTGGTTATATCTCCTATTGGTTTGATTTTTGTTTCTATGTTTATTTATTACTAGGGTTGAAGCTATCACGAGTTCACTTAATCTGCGAACTAGAAACAAAACTCGGTGATCAAAGAGCAGTAAGCTAGCTATTGATGCATCTCAGCCCCGCTAACTAGAGAGAGAAGTCCAAGCTTGGAATGAGGAAGTATATTCTGCAAACAGTCAGAAACGAGCGATAACAACAAACACAATTCAAAACGTATATATACAGTACAAAACCGTCCTTGAGGAGAGTTACCGAATAGCATACTAAAAGACGCAACGGACCAATAGCAATTAAGATATTTCCCAAGTGAGAAATACGACATGAAGGTGACAAGAGCGTTTTGGCGCGAAAACAAAAAAATTGAAATTTTCTAAATAAAATTACAAAATTAGGTCCTTTCCCAAGTGAGTTCTGGGGATCTAACGTCCCCAACATTTATTAGTTATTTATCCGGTGAGACTATAATTTATGAACAACCTTTGAAGGACGCTAAACTGACCTAGAAAGTGTCCACCTAATAACTAGGACCAAATGAAGGTTAGAAATTAGTATGAGGAATTAGAATTATGATTTACAGTTGATAGTTATGGGTTAGGAATTGAATTTAGGGTTTTTATCACGAACTGACATCAGTTATAATACCAAAACTCTATTTAGCCAAATGGATGAATGAATTTCGCGCCAAACTCCGAGACCTGTCATCTTATACCTGATTGGTTCGTCCATAAATGATAGTCTTGCCGAATATACTTCTATTAGAATTGAATTACATTGTAAATCAATAATTGACGACTATAATTATCATTAAACAATTGATTGTTCTTTTGAGATGATGGAGAAGATTTGTAGTTCAGGTGGATGATTTTGGTGGAGTTTTGTTCTCTGAGCTGGATGGTTTGGTCGTGGAGCTTTCATCGTTCTTCTGAACGACATCATCAGCACAAACTTCAGATAGAAGATAGATAGACTTCTACCTGAAGTTTGTGCTGATGATGTCGTTCAGAAGAACGATGAAAGCTCCACGACCAAACCATCCAGCTCAGAGAACAAAACTCCACCAAAATTGTTCTTTTTTTTAATAAAAATTCATGAGCCAATTATAGCTAGAACACTATGGAAAACTTGAAAAACGTTAGACGACCATTTTATCCTAGTATGGTACTCCTCTCACTGGAGTTTAACCATATGTGTTGTGAGATAGTAACTTATTGAAGGCAATGATGAACGATGGCATGATTTCGTAGATTGGTTAAAGTTAAATATTAACACCAATGAATATCAACCGTGGCTCATTGATCTAGAGGTTAAATGTTTACATATGAGACTGTAGATTGTGAGTTTGGATCTCGCGAACAAGATTATGGATAAGCACTCCTGTAGGAATCCCATATTAGGACAAAAAACAACCTTCCAGTACTTTATACTTTTCCATACTACTCTAACTTTAATCAACTATTGAATAATTAAACTCTACATAAAATCCCTTTCTAATAATTGTAATTTAATTAAGATTTATTTAAGAAACCAGGTCTGTTGTGAGATAGTAACTCACTGATGACAATGGTGGATATGTCGCTCAATTTCGTGGATTAGTTAAAGTTAGACATTAACACCGTTGGTTGCCGGTTGGCTCAGTGATCTAGTGGTTAAGTGCTCGCTCGCGAGACCAATAGGTCCTGGGTTCGAATCTCGCAGGGGGCGAGGTCGTGGATGTGCACTGTTGAGGAGTCCCATACTAGGACGAAACGGCCATCCAGTGCTTCCAGGTTTTCCATGGTGGTCTAGCTTCAACTGACTCATGATCTTAACCATTGAAATTACTATATAATCCATAAAACCCATCTGAAATAAGAATTTCTATATTCATTTATTATGTAACACATAATTGTGTACCCACAAAATAACATTTGCCCATTATTTTATTGATTAATTAATCAATTAATCAATATTTGACCTTATTGATTGTTTGTTTTTTCCTCTTCTTCTTTACTTATAGGCTTATTATATTTACATTAACCTCTGGGAAATTATCATTTATTTAAATGACCTTGAATGATAATAAAAATCAATAAATGTGCGGATAATTTAAATTTAAAAAAAAACAAACAAAACTAATTTGCGGTCAATTCAAATAATGAAAATTAGATTTACATTGTTTCTAAGTGATTTATACACTTTTTTGGTGGGTTTATTTTTAATTAGACTCAACAGAATTGTATCAGAAGATGTAGAAAACTCCTCAGAGAGAAAAAAATCGGTTGAAAATAAGGATCTTAAAAAATATTGAGAAACATCTTATCTAATCAGTATTCAATAGAAGTTTTGTCAGAAACATCTGGAAAGTAAAAGTCCTACAGGAGGTCGCTTGCGGCCCAGATAACTCAGTGGTAACGTATCTGACTGTGAAGCTGAGCGACAAGGGATCGAACCAGTCAGGGAGTACCAGTTCCCTCAAAGATTACAGGTACATCTTCCTGATGAGTGCCATGTTGCACAAAACCCGTGTCCAGGGTTTCCTGTCGACTACCTCCAACCACCATCTAATCATATCTGGAAAGTGAAAAGTCACATTTCGGATTACTGATTGGATGATAGGTACTCATACTGCTACTATGTTTAGTAGCATTTCAGAATTTTCGGGAAACCTAAGGATATCTAAATTGCTATAAATACTCTATATTTTCTGTACATAAACGAACTTTTTAAGTAAATCGTTTTCTTCTATATTTTGCTCTTTTCCCCTCATGTTTAAGTCGCTGTGTAAAGGGGTTACTAGGAGGAAGACCTTAGGAAATCGAATCTAGCGTTCAATTAAAAGGACATACCAGAAATAATACTTACAAAAATTTACTATGAAGTGTCAAGTAATTGAATGAACATGATCAGTAAATAGATTGATCATTATTATCATGATCATGTGGATATTTTGATCGGTTTTTTATTTTAAAGCAAAACGTTCGCCTTAAAGATGTATTCCATGGACTACTTAAAGTGATTTAAACATTTCAATAAACATGATATTCATGAGTCAGTCAGTCAGTTACAATATAGGATCAGGCATATATATGCATCGGTTCAAGTTGCCATACCTCATTAACACAACAAGATGAACACCGAATTCATAGAAGTAGTTACTTCAATGGTGGTACTATATAAAAGAAAGATTGTATATAAGGATATAGTACAGGAAGAGAGATATGAAGCAATTCTAATCTCACAATTTAAGGGATGACAGAGAGTGTATACACCGACGCCATTATGATTGATTCTGAACCACCATCTATTGTAATAATAATCATTATCATTTAACAATTAATTTATGAAATTTTTCTCCCTTATTTTTGTTAAATCAAATAAAGATACATTTTTTGAATCTTGATTATTGCGCCTTTCTCTTGTTCAGTGTTTCAATAGGTATATCTATCTATTACTTACTTACGCCTGTTAGTCTCAGTGGAGCATAGGCTGACGACCTGCATTCACCAACACATTGTCATGAGCCTTCCTTTCTAGTTTTATCCAATTGTTGTTTATTCTTCTCATGTCTGTCACTATTTCTTGGTGTCATGCGTTCTTTGTTCTTTCTCTTCTTTTATGGTCTTGAGGATTCCAAGCAAAAGCTTGCCTTGTGACGCAGTTGGATGCTTTCTTAAATATATATGTCCTATCCACTTCCAACGTTTCTTCGTCTTGATTTCTTTCTCCATTGTAATCTCGTTTATTCTCTTCTACAATAGGTTGTTGCTGATAATGTCTAGTCAATAAATTCGAAGTACTTTTTTTGTTGTTGTTGTGGACAACTATTCATAAACACTTGTATCTTTTGGATAATTGACTTTCATAGTTCTCTAAGTTTCCATCCTATACAATAGAACTATCTATCTATCTATCTATATCTCGATGAAGTTATTCCTATAGAATGAATTGTCAATCATATTTGTATAAAAAGTCTATCTGATTCATGAAATTGAATAGAGAAACACAATACAATTGGGTGTATCCATAATCTTCGAATGATATTCCCGTCTAAATAATAATAACTGTGTTTAGTTAATTATCTATATTCAATGAATAGTTAATATATTTATATTCATAGTTACTTTGGTTACCTAGAAAAAGTATCCGCTTTGTGATTTCGGAAAGAATTCCATTTCTCTTATGTAATGTCATAATTCTACTCAATGAGTTCAGCTAATTATTATATGATTGATTCACTAATCGAAATATGATTTATACAAGTTTAGTATTTATATCAAACTAATGATATTCAATTTGTATGTGTAGCCTAGAATCATTATTGATTTTTTGTTCTCTTAACCCTTCTTCTAGTTGAGTCTAGAACATGAATACCAGCTTTTACTATCACTTACTTACTTACGCCTGTTACTCCTTGTGAAGGAGCATAGGCCGCTGCTCTCCAGCATTCTCAATCTAACCCTGTACTGGGCAGTTCTTTCCAGCTCTTTCCACTTGTTATTCATCATTTTCATTTCTGCTTCTATTTCTTGACGTAATGTGTTATTTGGCTTTCCTCTTTCCCGTTTCCTATCAGGATTTCAGGTTAGGGCTTGCCTCGTGATGCAGTTTGATGATTTGTGTATTGTATGTTCTATCCATTTCTATTGTCTTTTCCGAATTTCCTCTTCACCTGGAATCTGGTTTTTTCTCTCCCAAAGCAGGCTGTTACTGATGGTATCCGGTCAATGGATGTTCAGTATATTGAATGGACAGCTATTTATAAATGCTGGCACCATCTTGATGATAGTTGTAGTAGTTCTCCAAGTTTCAGCTCCGTACAGTAGAGCTGTCTTGACGTTCGTATTGAAGATTCTCACTTTGATATTAGTTGAAAGTTGTTTTGAGTTCCATATGTTCTTCAGCTGAAGGAAATCGGCCATTGCTTTGCCGATCGTCGCCTTTACGTCTGCATCTGATCCTCCTTGTTGATCGATGATGCTTCCCAGGTATGTGAAGGGTTCTACATCTCCAGAGTTTCATCAACAACAGTGATTGGATTGCTGTTTTCTGCTTTGAATTTGAGGACCGTGGTTTTCCCCCTGTGTCTGCTGAGAACTACTGATGCAGAGACTGCTGCTACACTGGCTGTCTTTATCTGGATCTGTTCATGTGTATGTGATAGGAGAGCTAGGTCATCTGCGAATTCCAAATCGTTTAATTGGTTCTGAGCTGTCCATTGTATTCCATGTTTTGCCTCAGACGTCGAGGTTTTCATAAGCCAGTCGACCACCAGAAGAAAGAGGAAAGGAGAGAGTAGACAGCTTTTTCTGACTACGGTCCTTACTTGAAATGCATCTATTAGCTGTCCTTCATGCACGACTTTGCAAAGGAGTTCAGCTTTTACCATACAAATCATTTATTTCAAACATATTTGGTTTATATTATACCAGTCAGACAGACTACATCACAATAACTCTTTATCTTCCCTTAAACCTTGAGATTAAAATTGCTTCATATCTCTCTTCCTATACTATATCCTTATATACAACCTTTCTTTTATATATTACCACCACTAAATTAACTACTTCTATGAATTCTTATGTTGTAGCTGACTGACTGACTGACTGACTGACTTATTTACTGTATGTTTCTCAGATTTTACTAAGATATTTGATGATGTTGTTCAGAAGAACAATAAAAACTTCACAACCAAACCATCCAACTTTACTCTACTAATCTTGAAGTACTGTTTTGTATATGTCCCCCCACCACCACCACCACCACTACTACTACCACAACTAGCAAGAAACAAAACAAAGTAAATAGAATCTAAACTAACCAATTCCATCCAATATAGGATAATCTGTGGATGATTTGTTTTAATTGACATTATTATTTGAAGATTTTCTTTTTTCTAGAACTTCGGAAAATATCAACTTCTATCTTCAATTAATTGTTGCTGTTGGTGTTGCTGATGCCGGTGATGCCGGTGATGATGATGTATGTATAAATGAGTTGTTACTAACTGAATTAAATAATAGTAGATAGATTTATATTTTAATGTTATTGAATATAATCCATATCCCTAAATGAATTTGTAATTGATTATATTGAATGTAAATTGTTAAACATCAAAGTCTATTTCCATAAATGAATTAAGGTTACTATAATTATGTAATATTTCATGTAGTTTTGCGGCAACAACAACAAAATAACCTGCCCACCCTCTCCCCCAATTGAATGGTCATATTTAAATACTATTATTCCATTTGATTTTGATTGGTCATTAAAATCAACCAATTAGAATTTCAGCCAATCAGCATCAAGTGTGACCTTCAAGGTCAATGGTTCATATCTATTTACATAATTGATTGTGATTATTTATAATCCAAACGAAAAAAAAACTTTTACTAAAAAAAAGGAAAAAAGGAAAACCCACAAATTATTGACATGGAATTTGACTTTTTTCTGAAAACAAAATAGGGATTTTTGTGAAAGCAAAGATGGAATCTAGTTTGAAGCGCGTTTCGTCCTATTTGGGATTCATCAGCTGAAAGTGTCTGCATCACAGACCTGTTGATGTTCACTCTGGGACTCGAACTTGGTACCGTTAACTTCAAACGCCATCTATTTAGCTAATGAGTCCTATTAGCCACTTGCTTGTGCAATGGGTTTCGAGTCCCGGATTGGACATCAACAAGTCTGTGATGCAGGTACATTCAGTTGACGAGTTCCAAGTAGGACGAAACGCACTTCAAAATGGATTTCACTACTAGCCATCATCCATCTTTGCTTAAAGAACCTTGTGACTTAAAACTATATCGAGGCAATCGTCACAGGATGCACATATACCAACATGACACTGGTCAATTGCAGTCCTAAAACATCAATGGGAAGATACAACTAAAACATTATCAAGTGAATACAAAATAAAGATGTCTATTTATAATTACTAGGTAGAAATTAACTTCATAATACCCAGATTTTTTTACATTCTATTCTGAGTATTAAGTCTAATTTGTAAGTAGATGAGATGGTTAGTTGCCATCGCCTCCCTTCCTTCCTCCGAAATAATCGATCATTCAAATTGAAGATTTCACCATAGTTGAAAAATGAAAAGTAAAATTAAGATAAGTGAATATGTTCAATATAGATTATGATCAAAATGAATTGAATGTAGAAAAGAACAAAGTTATTTTGACATGATTAAGTCATTTAATGTTATTATATTAAATAATGGAAGGTATTCTAATTATAGTATGAATTAGGAATTCCAGGATTAACGCAATTGAATTAAGAAGACACAGGCACAACGAATGTACTGTATTTAGAATTCAAAATCGAGCATTCAACAAGTACCAAAAGAATCATTAGTTAATTCAAACACCACAGAAATCCTGATTGATTAAGGTTTCCTAATGTTTACCACACTCGTCATCATTATCAAGGCGTCCTGGTTGAATATCTGGGCTACCTATTTCTACCATTTATTTAGATATTTAAACAAGTTATCTGATATCTTGTTTGTTTAGTCGCCAAACCTATTCAGGTGCATTTGTGAAAAGTTGACGACATTTCAGTGTACAAGTTAGGAAAGAGCACAATCACAGAGACATTATGGTTGCTGGCAATACACATCGAAAAGAATGTAAATTAATCATATGTCAATTCACGAACTGTTAACATCTAATTGGTGATCACTCAATATGGTATCGTCAGAATCCATAAAGAAATAAGAAAAGCAAACCCGCTGAAATACTTTGTGCTGAGAATTCTAAATTGTACCAAGAATATAATATTGAATAAAGCTTATAATACTAATAATAATCACTAAGCCGTATCTCCAGCCTTGAAGGACTGATATTCCTTGTGTGATTTTTATTTGTGAAATGTTATTAGAACCATAATTAAATTCCTTCAGGACTAAGATATTGACGATTAATTAACCATTGTATAATGATTAATGCTAAGTTTGTTCAGTCTTTAGTCCTGATCGAATTCTATCAAGAATTAAAAATATGCTAAACTAAAAGAATAATCATATCAGAAGGGTTATGTGGATATTATAGTAATGTTAATGGTTGAGATCATGAGTCAATTGGAGCTAGACCACCATGGAAAACCTGGAAGCACTATACGGCCGTTTCATCCGACTTCGGGACTCCTTAGCAGAGCGCGTCCACGATGTCGCTTCGCGAGACTCGAACCCAGGACCTATCAGTCTCACGTGCAAGCGTTTAACCAATAGATCACTGAGCTAGCCGGTATCCAACGGTGCTAATGTCTAACTTCAACTAATCCACGACATTAAGTGTTATATCCACCATTGTCTCCAGTGAGTTACTATCTTACAACTGACCCGGTTGAACTCCACTGATCACTGCTTCTCACTAGAACTCCAGGAAATACCTTTTGAAGTCAGTCAATAATGAGCGTATGTTGTATAAACATTAGCTTTTTTCGATTCACTACATTTTAAAGTGAAAATCTTGATATTTATGTTTAGGTTATTCAATGTACTTTTATAGGTAACTTTGAAAAACTCAATGAATTTTCGATTTATATTTGTGTTAGAATTAAGAATCATAGGGATATATTTGTAAATCTAAGAAAACTGGTTCCCATTCAAAAATTTAAACTTCTCATATTTAATTAAATTGTCAGTAACTTTCAGATCTGACTAAGTTGTATCAGTCAACCAAACTTAATGATATAACTCATGAATCATATAACCGAACATCATTATCCACCCCCCCCCAAATGCCCTGATACGGCCGAGAGCCGATAGATTCAGCTCTCTTTCTCGAAATGCTCTCACATGGCCACTGCCAGAGAAGTCCTACTTGCTACCTTCTCGGGACACCGCTGTCTTTTACCAAATTGAGGGGACGAATAGCGAATTCCGGTGCTTCAACCGGGTTGGTTGATATAGAGGACCCACCTAAGGGAGTTGGAAAGTTTGATTACAAACTAATGGTGAACATGGACTCCAGTATCCTTAGAGAACAAATGGCGTATGAACCTATTGTTGATCACCAGCTACCATGGGAGTGCATTTCCTTACATTGCTCCACTGTCTTGTGGATCAGACCTTTAGTTCAAAGGTTCGGAGTGAGGCTCCTTAATAAAACCGCCTACTTCGATCTAGTCATTTGGGTAGTATCTCAGCCCTCAAACAGATCAAATGACTTATGTACCAGCTTAGTAGTCAAAATTTAGTTTCATCAAAAGCAAAGAAAATATGCCATTTCGTTGGTAGTTGTATGATAACGGACAAACTAACACAAAAATTTTTTATAGAATAGATACATTTCAGGCAACAGTATAATCCAAGAGACGCATTTCGACTATCTCTCCTAGATTCATCATACGGATGTATCATCATTTATCATTGGATAAGTTATCAATTCTGATCTATATTGTTAAAAGAATAAATGATGATACTTGTTTAACAAATTATTTACCATCAACATTAGCTTAGACGCATTACTATATATTCAGCATTTACAATGTTTAAGAAAAAAACATTAATTTTCTTGTAAGCAATGATGGATAGTGGCTAGCAGTGGAATACACGATGTGCATTTCGTCCTATTTGGGACTCGTCAGCTAGATGTACTCGCATCTCACAGTTGATATTCACCCTGGGACTTCAAATTAGTACCGTTCGCTTCCAACGCCATTGTGTTATCTACTTAACTACCACTGCTAGCCACTATCCATCCTTGCTTATAATGCTTGGGAATTAAGACAGTATCGAGGCAATATGGAACAGTATAAGCGTATATACCAGTAAGAGATTGATCAATTTCAGTCCTAAATATCAATGGGAAGATTCAAGTAAAACAACACTAAGTGAACTAATTTTCTTGATTAAAAAAAGATAACGATTCATAAAGAAACTAATTTACTACTTCGTTTATGAAATTCCCATATAAAATTGTTTGTTAATTTTGTTAAACGTAGTCATTTATCCAGTTTGTTAAGGGTATAACTTGTGGTCTTATGCTCTTATCAATATATATGACGTACTGATACCACCAATTAGAGAACAATGATTTGTCGATCGGATGAATGACACATAAAACACAGTCTAGAGTCCTAATCAGTCCAGCTTCCTGACTAGTCTTGCCTGCCTGTTGAATCCAGAATATCAATCTCAGCCTCCGCAATATCAATCATCTATTTCAAACATATTGGGTTTATATACTAACCAAACAGACCATATCACACCATAAAATAGAAAACAACATTTGTATAGGATCTAGCTCAAAAGTGGCTGTGAATGTGGTAGATAGTGATTGATAGACTGGGTATAACTTAAGAATGGTAAATCGTATAGTAATAGTCTATGGGTCAAAATAAAGATTGTGATAAGAGGAAGACGAATATCCAGATCGTTTAGTTACATAACGACCATACAATAAAAGTATGTGTAGTGTATTAGTCCAGAAATAGATTCCAACAGTTACTATTCATCATTCTCATTTGGATATAACAGTTATTGATTGTTATTATTATTAATACCATTTTGATGCACTTTGATGACTATGTTTATTAAAAAGCAATGAAATACAAAATGTCAGTTTACGGGTTGTGAAAATTGTTGATTTTTCGATTGAGATCATGAACCGATTGATGTTAGACCACCATTGAAAACCTGGAAGCACTAGATGGCTCAATGGTTCAGTAGGTTAAACGTTGGCGAGCGCGAGACTGAAGACCCTGGATTCGAATCCCGCAAGCGAGATCGTGGATGAGCAATACTGAAGAGTTCCACAATAGGACGAAACGGAAGTCCAGTGCTTCCAGGTTTTCAATGATGTTCTAACATCAATTGCTTCATGATCTCAATCGAAAGAAAATACAAAATGGTAATCTATTCATTCA